TTGTGGAATTGAAGAGAGTAAAGACCCTGCTCTGGACTAGGCTTTATCTTAAGGGAATATTGTGGCTGGTTTGAGCTTCTATCTAGGACACTGAAACTTTTTTCCATATCAGCAATAAAGTTGTTTTATTTTATCATGTGTGTTCACTGAAGTAGCACTTTTAATTTCCTTCAAGAACTTTTCCTTTATGTTTACAGCTTGGCTAAATGGCACAAGAAGCCTAGCCTTTGGCTTTTATTTTATTTTTTGGCCAGGAAGATAGAGAGAGAGAGAGAGAGAGAGAGAGAGAGAGAGGGGGGGGGGGAGAGGGGGAGGGAGGGGGGGGGGGGGGGGGAGGGAGGGAGAGAGGGAGAGAGAGAAAATGAATAAGAAGGGACCCCTCCCCCCATGGGAGATGTTCCTCCCACAATCCTTCCTCCTCCATTTCTTTCTCCTTTGGAGATTTTTGTACATGCACCAAGTGTGTTTTTCAAGCCACTAAGCCTAAGACTGAAACCATACAGTTGGCCATGTGGGATCCAGCCCCTTCACAACCAGACCACCAGCTGCCCCCATCTCTGCTTTGACATGCCTTCATTGTTAAGCTTAATCATGTATACTATCTGATTTAAAATGACAGACAGGCAACTTTTCCTTCCCCCTGTACCCTTAGAGGCCATTGTCGGGTTATTAACTGGCCTAATTTCATTATTGGTATGTTTGAAGGAACAGGAAGGACTGAGGAGAGTGAGAGAGATGGGGGAACAGCTGGTTGGTGGAGCAGTGAGAACCTACACATACACCGGAGGAGCAATGACAACATACCACTGAGTTTGCTGTTTCATATGGGTGTGGTTTGTGGTGCCCTAAAACAATTAGAGTAGTAACATCAAAGATCACAGATTACCATAACAGATATAGTAATAATGACAAAGTTTGAAGAAGTGTAATGATTACCAAAATATATCAAAAGGCCTGAAGCGACCACATGCTTTTGGAAAAATAGCACCAATAGATGTGCTGTAAGAAGGGTTGTCACAAGCTTTCAATTTGGAAAAAACAGTGTCTGCGAAGTGTAATAAAGCAAAGCACAATAAAATGAAGTGTGCTTATACCATTGCCAATAAGCTCATGAAGAGAGTTTCAACATCATTCGTTGTGAGAGAAATGTAAATAAAAATCACAATGAGGTGGGACCAGCAGATAGCGTAATGGCTATGTCACTGAACTCCTATGTAGTCGACCACAGTTGAAGTCTTGGACCGGTGGCTTAAACTCACACCAGGCGCGTATGCGTGTGTGCCCAAGATCCCAAGAGGATAATGGAGGAGAAGGGATTGTGGCATGGCCATCCCCCCTGGGTGGTAGTTTCTCTCTGTTTTTTTTTGGTGAGTGCACATACCTTATAGCAATAATCTCTCCAACAAACAAACAAAAAATCACAATGTGGGGACTGACAGGTGGCATGGTGGTTAAAAGTGCTGAACTCCCACCTGGCCGACTATGGTTCAAGTCCTGGACCTGGTGGTGGCTTGCTTCTCACTTTCCCTCTCTCTGGTCAAATTAAATAATAATAATAATAATAATAATAATAATAATAATAATAAAGTTAAATAAAACAATTATTTTAAAAAATCACAATGAATGCCAGCAGGTGATGCACAAAAGTCTCCTGGATCCTACATGATCGACTGACCAGTTCAACTCCCAGATCCAGCAGCTTGAAAAGCATGCTGGGTGTGTGTGCATGAGTGTCCCAAATCCCAAGAGCAAAGTGGAGGAGAAGGGATTTGGCATGACTATCTTCCCTGGGGGGGGGGCAATTTCTCATTGTCCTTCTCTCCTTCTCTTCCTATCTCTCTCTGGCAAGTGCATACACCCTGTAACCAAATCTGGAAAAAAAATCACAATGACAGGACCAGACAGTAGCACAGGGATAAAATGGAATTCTCTGTGAGACGATCCCACATGAGAAGGCTTGTGGTTCAAGTACAGAGACCACCCTGGGTACACTAGGCATGTACTTGGACATGATCTGGAGCTGGCCAAAGGATAGGGGTGGATCAAGGTGTTAGGATTCTATTGGGGGTGCTCTCTCTCTCTCTGTTTATCTCTGTCTCTCATGCTATGGAAAAAATACGTAAATAAACTTAAAAGAATAACAATGAGATACTATGTCATACCCATTTGACCAACTGAAATAAAAAAATAAAAATTACAGATAGTAGGTAGTGTTGACTAGAATGTGGAAAAATTAGAACCCTCCTACACTGCTAGTGGAGTTGTAAAATGAAGCATCCAGTTAAAAAACATTTGATAGTTTCTACAAATGCTTATACAGGATTTCCAGATGACCCAGCATATACCTAGGTCCCATGCTTCAGTTCTCTTCAATTCAAGAGCACTGAAGTAGTCTCTTAGGTGTGAGAATTGAAGGATACATTCACATAAAAACTTGTACATGGATGTTCTTAGCAGTATAAACCTTAATAGCCAAAAATGGGAAACAGTGCAGGTGTTATTAATGGATAAATGACTAAACAAATATGGTATATTCATACAACATAATATTATTTAGCCATGAAAAGGAATAAAGTATTGATGCACACTTCAACATGACTGAATCTTAAAAATATGCTAAACAAAAGAAGCCAGACCTGAAAGGCTACATATTTTATGATTCCATTTTCATGAAATATCAAGAATTAGACAAATGCACAGAGACAGAAATACACTAGTAATTGCCAGAGGTTTGGAGTAAGGGAAGAATGGACAGTGACTGATGATGGGTATGAGATTTTACTTATTTATTTATTTATTTTCAGGATATGAAATGTGCTAAAATAGGTAGCAGTAGTGACTGTACAACTCTGCAAATACACCAAAAGTCACTGATTTATACACTTTAAAACAGTGAATTTTGGGACTGGCAGGTAGTGTGGTGGTTAAGATGGTGGACTTCCACAGGGCCGACTGTGGTTTGAGCCCCAGACCTGGTGGCTTGCTTTCTCTCTCTCTTTCTGGTCAAATTGAATAATAATAAAAAATAATTAAGTTAGAAAAAAACCTCTCCAAAAAAAGAAAAAAAAATAAGTAACAAATAATTCTTTTTAAAAAGGGCAGATTTTATGGTATCACCATTATTAGTTGTATTACTTATATTTTAATAACATTGTAAGAATTAAGTTCACCTAATCTTTTTATCTTTTTTTTTTAGAGGTTTTTGTTATAGGGCGCATGCACTCACTTGAAAGGTAGAGAGAGACAGAGAGATAGAAAGTGAGAAATCACCCCCCCGGGGGGATGGCCACGCTGCAATCCCTTCTCCTCCATACTGCTTTTGGGATCTTGGGCCTGGCGTGAATTTAAGCCACCGGGTCCAGGACTTGAACTGCGGTCGACTACATGGGAGTCCAGTGACAGCCATTATGCCATCTGCTGGTCCCCTTTTTACCTTTTTTAAATATAAGTTTTTTTTTGGGACCAGCAGTTGGCATAATGGCTATGTCTCTGGACTCCCATGTAGTCGACCACAGTTTTGAGTCCCAGACCCGGTGGCTTAAACTCACGCCAGGCACATGTGCATGTCTGCCCAAGATCCCAAAAGCAATATGGAGGAGAAAGGATTGTGGTGTGGCCACCCCCCTCATGGTGGAGGGGTTGATTTCTAGCTTTCTGTCTCTCTGTCTTTCTGGTGAGCACATTCATCCTATAGCTAAAACCTCTCAAAAAAAAAAAAGGATTTTTTTTCTTATTTTTTCTTTATTCATGATAGAAGGTATATGTAAGCACATTTGTTGCAGAAAGGGAGAGAGAGAGAGGAGCATCTTCCATAGGGTGTGGTCAGACTTCAGTTCTCTTCCTCCAGTCAGTCAAATCCTGAGCACTTGTGCACATGCCAGATGGATTTCAGACTGGCTGGGGTGGGGATTTGAACAGATTCGCTATGTGGCATCCAGCTTGTCTTAAGCAATGGAGCCATAGAGTCAGATCTTTTTTTACCTTTAAAATGAGACTACAAAAACATTTAAAATTATATATGTGGTTCATGTCATATTTCTTCCTTTATTTCTTTTTCTTCTTTCTTTTTTCATTCTTTTTCCTTCTTTCTTTTCCCTTTCTTTCTTCATCCTTTCTTCTTTCTTTCTTTCTTTTTATTTCTTCTTTCTCTTTTTCTTTCTTTTCCTTTGTCATAGGGTGCGTGCGTTTTCCAGAGGTAGACAGAGAAAGAGAGACACACATAAAGAGGGAAAGTGAGAAACCACCCCCACTGGGGAGACAGCCATACCACAATTTCTTCTTCTCTCTTCTCCATTCTCCTCCTGGGATTTTGGGCACATGCACCCAGCATGATTTTCAAGCTGCCAGGTCCAGGACTCAAACTGCAGTTGGCCATGTGGGAACCAAGCACCTTCCTTTCTTTTCTTTTTTTCTTTTTTTTTTAGAGAGGTTTTTGCTATAGGGTGCGTGCACTTGCCAGAAAGACAGAGAGAGAGACAGAGAGATAGAAAGCAAGAAATCACCCCCTAGGGAGGATGGCTACGACACAATCTCTCCTCCCGCATTCTCCTCTCGGGATCTTGGACACACACGCACATGTGCCCGGTGTGAGTTTAAGCCACCTGGTCCGGGACTCAAACCGTGGTTGACTATATGGGAGTCCAGAAACATAGCCTTAATGCCAACTACTGATTGTGACATCTGTTTTTTTCTCAAGGACTCAGAAACCCTGGCAATTGTACCTGGCTTCCTGCATGGTGTCCAGTGGCTGGAACTGAACAGTGGCTGCCCTTTCACATTGGGCAGGAGTCTTCCAGTTCCCCATGCCCTATACCAGTCCTTATAGTCTCATCAGCCAACTTCATTTATTTTCATTATCTATCTAACTCCTGTAGGCCTGCCTTGAGTCATTCATTTTCATTGGAGGCTGGGGAACTGAGGCCTAGAGACAAATATGTGTGGGAGCTGCAGAGCTTCCTCACCTGTTAATTGGGCTAACCAGACTTCTCTTTCTTTCCTAGCCAGAGAATATACTGTGTGTCAATCAGACAGGACACCAAATTAAGATTATTGACTTTGGACTGGCCAGAAGGTAAGGGGGTTTTATTTTAATATTTTGACAAGTCTTGAGAACTCTGCAGCTTTCTTGGGCATAGCTATCCCTTGCCCAGTCAATTCTCAAGTTTGCAGACTGATGAAAAAAAGCTGTTGCTGTCAGAGGCTGGTAGCCTTTGATGTACAGATAGATCTTGATACTCCTTCAGAGCTTTGTGTTGTGGGCTCTGTTGCTCCCTTAAAGTCTATAGAATTAACTGGACTTCAGTCCCCCGTCTGAACAGAGAGGGGAATAAAGAGTAAGGTGAGCTGTTGAATAGGGAGCTGGGCAGCTCAATCCTAGTGATTTCCTAGTTCCTCTGGGACCAGCACGTGCTGGGCTTTGCACCCATCACCATCCTTGCCTCTAGAAAATGACTAGGTTGGGAACCAGCAGTTAGCATAATGGCTATGTCACTGGACTTCCATGTAGTCAACCGCGGTTCGAGTCCTGAACCCAGTGGCTTAAACTCAAGCTGGGCATGTGTGCGTGAGTGCCCAAGATCCCAAGAGGAGAATGGAGAAGGGATTGCAGTGTGGCCACGCCCCTGGGGGGTGGTTTCTCGCTTTCTGTCTCTCTCTGTCTCTGTGTCTTTCTGGCCAGCACACACACCCTATAGCAAAAAAAAAAAAAAAAAAAAAAAAAAAAGAAAGAAAATGACTACGTTGGATATGAAATGTGTACATGACAGCAGTGTCATGGGTGAGTGGTTCTGGAACTACTGGGGACCAAGTTAGATCTTGATAAAATGGTAATATAATGGCACTAGATGGTGGCAGGGGCAGTTACAAGGGTTAAATGAGATAAGGCATGGCTGGTGTGAACCTATCTTTATGAGAGTGATTAAATTCTTGAGTTTCAGTGTATAATGTGAACATCGTATATAATTTTAAAATGCCTAAAGTCTCTTTAAAAATGTTTTTTGAGAGTTTTTTTGCTATAGGGCATATGCGCTTATCAGAGAGACAGGGACAGAAAGCAAGAGATCACCCCCTGAAGGGTTGGCCACACTGCAATCCCTTCTCCATTCTCCTCCTGGGGTCTTGGGTATGCACAAATGCATGTCTGGTGTGAGTCTGAAGCCACTGAATCTGGGACTTCAACCATGGTCGGCCATGTAGGAGTCCAGAAATGTAACGGCTATGCCATCTGCTGGTCCCATCTTTAAAGCCTAGTGAAGTAGAGGTGGTTTTACTGTACAGTCCTGTCTGGCCAAATGTCAGATGAATACAGTGCCTCCATAGGGCTCCTGCCCACCTCATGCATACCTAGTGGCTTGGGCTCTGAGGGGTGGTAGTAGCGAACTCTTGGCATTGGTAGGGGGCAGCCCTCAAACCTTCAGGCAGGCATCCACACTCCATAAATGTGGCCATAATATGCCTATCCTCTAGAATTGTTTCTTCTCAGAATGACAGTTGTCTGGGAATCATATTTTCTGGGTAGGTCTTCATAGCTTAGCTGAATTTACAACTCTTACTGAAAATTTTCTCTCATCTTGATGATTTTTTTTGGCAAAGAAGTTGTTTTTGTGACATCATGAGCCATACTATGTATTCCACTCTTATCTGTGAATAGAAGGAGTCTTGTCCCTGTGGAGACAGAGCTGCACACTGAGCTCAACCTCTGGCCTCTAGCACCACTTCCCAGATAGCATCCAAATCCATAGTGGTGGTCTTCCTAGGTTATGCTGCCACTGGATGAAGTGGAAAATGGTACCTATGTGCAGGGGGTGAAAGATGCATTTTCAGTGCCCCACATGCTGTTTACTGTAACAGATGGAAGTTCATAGTCTCCCACTGTATCTTCAGAATCTCCATTACATTTATTACCAATGTAAAATCCCCCCAACTCAAACACTTCAAAATCATGTTCAAGTTGTCATGGATAAAATGGCTATTTTCCCAAGTAGCCATTTGGGAATTCTCAATCTATTTTTTTATTATTGCTACCTGCCCTCCAGTGAGATTTTTTACACTTTCCCCCCTAATTGTCTCGTCCTCCCATTTCAAAGATGTTCTGTGTATCTATGTACCATAAATAGACTATATTTAACTTAATACCACAAGTGTGTCACACATATGTTTATGTATTGGCCCTTTGGAGAGCCACAAACCATTGCTACAGCCAAGGTTTTTTTACCCCCCAAGAATCAATTTTTGTTCCAGGTTTTTTTTTTTTTGTCAATATTATCATCATAGAGAACATACACTAGTGTATGTAGTACCCTCTCAAATGCCAGATGACCAATTGACAGATGAGTATTTACAGTGACACACTGTTAATTCAGGGCAAGAAGCAACTACCGGATGCTTCTGGAGTCAGAAGGCTTTTCTTGGCTATTGTAAATAATGCTGCTAGGAATATGGGAGTATGTGGCTCTTGACACACCTCTTTTCTTTTTTTTTTTTTAAACAATTATTTTGGGACCAGCAGATACTGTAATGGTTACATTGCTGAACTCCCATGTAGTCAACAGTGGTTCAAGTCCTGGCCCCAGAGGCTTAAACTCACGCTGGTCATGTGTGCATGCATGCCCAAGATCCCAAGAGGAGAATGGAGGAGAAGGGAGTGCCATGTGGCTATCCCCTGGGGGGTGATTACTCGCTTTCTGTCTCTCTCTGTCTTTCTTGTGAGCACACATGCCCTATAGCAAAAACCTCTTCCAAAAATATATGTGTGTGTGTGTGTGTGTGTGTGTGTGTATATATACATATATTAAAATTATATATATATATACATATAAAATTTTAATTTTATTATTTTAAAATTTGATCAGAAAGCAATGGAGAGAGAAAGGGAAGGTGGAAAGCAAACTACCAGGTCTAGGACTCAAACTGCGGTTGGCCATGTGGGAGTCTAGCATCTTAACCACCACAGTACCTGCTGGCCCTAGGATACAAATTTCAATTCTTTTGGATATATACCTAAAAGTGGAGTTGCTGGATCATATAGTAATCTTATTTTTAATTTAAAAATTATTATTATTTTTAATAATATATTTTGCTATAGGGCATGTGCACTTGCCAGAAAAAAGAGAGGGAAATCACCCCCAGGGGAATGAACATACTATAACCCCTTCTCTTCTATTCTCCTCTCAGGAGTTTGGGCATGCATGTACCGTTGCCCAGTGTATTTTTCCAGCCACTGGGTCTAGCCTCAAACTGTATAGCCAGGTAGGATATAGCTGCCTTATTTTTATTTTTTAAGTAACCACCAAACTGTTTTCATAGTGGCTGCACCATTTTATGTTCCCACCAGTAGTCCACCAGGTTTCCAATATTGCCACATCTTCATTTATGCTTGATATATATTTATTTTTCCCTCTCTCATAGAAGTCATCCTGATGAGTGTGAAGTGGCATCACAATGTGTTTTTGTTTTTGTTTTTGCTATAGGGCGTATACGCTATGCTCTCACAGGAGAAACAGAGAGACAGAAAGTAAGAAATCACCCCCCAGGCAGGATGGCCACACTGCAATCCCTTCTCCTCTATTCTCCTCTTGAGATTTTGGGTATGCACGCACACACATCTGGCATGAATTTGAAGTCACTGGTTCCTGGATTCATGGTTGACCAGAGACATAACCATTATGCCACCTGCTGGTTCCAACAACGTGGTTTTGATTTGTTTCTCTAGGATTACTGATGATAAACACCAGACCTTCTTTTCCTAAGTCTCTCTCTCTCTCTCTCTTTTTTTTGGTAAGCTTATTTCATGAAGAGGGAGACAGCACTCTCTACAGGGTCTTGACGCTGCAATCCACCCCCAGGGTTAAGCCAGCCCAGATAATGGGCACATGTATCATGTGTGCCTGGTGTACTCAGGGGGGGGGTCTCTCGACACAAACTGGCAATGTTATCATGTGTCTGCCTTGAAGAGCGTTGTGTTTTACTGCTCTGTCACCATCCAGCCCCTTCTTTTTCTAATTGTTACTGTCATCCTTCCAAGCATATCGTACATATCAACAGAGCAGATCCCTTCAGCAGTTTCTTTACCAAAGAAAACAACTTTATTCATTTGGTTCTTCCATGAATTGAAAGACATGGAGAGAGAGAAAGAGAGAGAACACCCCAACACAGTTTTCGATGTTGCAATCCATTCCAAGCCCTCAGCTAGCCCTTGGTCATGGCCAACTGTGCACTTGGTATCTTCAGGGAGGTCTCTGGACTTGAACTGAAAATCTTCCCATGTGGGATTGCCTTGCAGAGTGTCCTATTTTACCACTGCACAACCATCTGGTCCTCTTCCTCTCAACAGCTTCTACCCCATTTGATTGACTTGTTCATGTGATTCCATGCTGAATAAAACATACTGATCCTCTCTCCTCCTCCTATTATAAATTCCTGGAGGAGAAAGATGGGGGATTTCTAATAATTCTAGCACTTACGAAAGTCTGAGGTTTGGGGCCTGAGTGTGTGGTTATTCCCTAATAAACCACATATGCACTTGGGTGTGAGGTCCAGACAAAATGGCTGACAGGGAAGGTTAGGGAATGTTTACTTCCCATGGGAATTTGTCCTAACTGCCACATCTTTGACCTTATCCCCTTGGTTGCTTATACTTCCTTCTCCTTAGGTATAAGCCTCGGGAAAAGCTGAAGGTGAATTTTGGCACTCCCGAGTTCTTGGCTCCAGAAGTTGTCAACTATGAGTTTGTCTCATTCCCCACGGACATGTGGAGTGTGGGAGTCATCACCTATATGCTGTGAGTGCTTAGGGTTCTGCCAATGAGGAGATGGGAGCTATCTGTCTTATATAGAGTCCCCTTAGAAGCAGCAAAGTTTTGTTCTCAGGAAACACGAATAGAGGAATATGGCAGGAGATGGGGAAGGAAAGGTAGCCAGTAAAGGGTGTGTTGAGTCAGTTTGTCATATTTACAATTGGTCCCATTTCCAAGTTATCACTTGTAATAGGCTACTGCTGGAAAAAAAAAAAAAAGTTGAGCTATACAGACATTATTCCCTAGAATAAAGGCCTGAATACTTAATTACTTGGTGATTAAGTCCTGGGTTGAGTTATTCTGATACTCAGATATAAAGTAATAACTAAAATAATTAAAGGGTATTAATGGCCTGGGTATAAGGCCCCACAGTGGGCAACTAAATTTATAATTCTGCTGGGGAACCCTAGAGTCCACTGTGGAATGCTTCTCTCCTGCCCCTTCAGTCTTACTCCATCTGAGGGGTGAGGAAGTTGGGGTATTTATATATCAATTCTTATTAGTCATTATGTGTTGATTAATCGCAGATGTGTACATGTGTGTTGTTGGGGGGGTGTTGTGGAATTATTTTTCTTGTACTTCTGGTGGGCCAAGAAAGCTTCAATCAGAAAGCCCTCCAGGAAAAAAAAACTTGCAGGTGATTTGGCACAAGTGGGGCTGCAGTGCAGGGTAGGACACTGCTGCATCATTTAATCACTTCTGACCCTGTACTCCCGTTTTCTTCTCTCTCCAACTGTGAACTTCCCTTAGCTATTTCTTCAGAGGCCCAACAAAATCGTGTTTTGCTTCTAGTCTTATCATTATTGTGTAACTGCTACACTGTGTCCTCACATTTTGTATGTATGTGCTGTATCAGGCTGGAAAGTTGAGTCCTACCAGTTGATTGCATAGTAACCTGCCTCTCTGTCCTCATTGTTTCAATCAGGAGCCCTTTTAAAAGAGCCAATTTTCTTTTGCCTAGGGGCCTGGATAATATCTAAACCTGTCTATTTCAGAGACATGGAAAGGTTATTTTATTATTTTTTAATTTGCCAGATGGCGCCTGTGCTTAAAGGAGACAAAGGGAAAGTAAGAAAGCACTCCCAGTCTCTGCTCCCCCTACTCCCTTGCATGATTATGCTGCAATCCCTTCTCTATTTTTCCCTCCTTCTGGGACTTCGGACATGCACACATATGCACCAGCATGTTCTTGAAGCTGTTGGATCCAGGACTAACCACTCTGTTGGCTATGTGGGATTCAGCTACTTTAACCACCAGGCCACTTGCTGGCCTAGAAAAATTATTTTTTAACTAAATCAATATGTATGTAATAACTGGACATAATGAGTTGGGCCCCAATTTATTTTTCACTTCAGAGATAAGGAGAAAAGAGATTAAGTGTGATAGGGAACATTTCTCCTTCCTGCTTCAAATTTTTTATTCATCCATGTCCTCCCCTTAATGAACACACTAGATTATATCCTGTAGAAAAGTAATAGGGATGATTTTCCTTTGAATCCTGTTGATTCTGGTTACATCTGTTCAAATTTTGTCAGCTTCTGCTCTATTCTGTTAATGCGTGTTGGCAAATGTAGCTTCCATACACTGATGGCCCCTTCTCTCCTTCGTAGACTCAGTGGTTTGTCCCCATTTCTAGGGGAAACAGATGCAGAAACCATGAATTTCATTGTGAACTGTAACTGGGATTTCGATGCTGATACTTTTGAAGGGCTGTCGGAAGAGGCCAAGGACTTTGTTTCCCGGTTGCTGGTCAAAGAGAAGAGGTACTCTTTACTGCTTGTCACTTGTTAACCATTTGATGGTAACTGTAGTCTGAGTGCTGGGCAGGACTGCTGAAGCTGAAGGAACTTTATTCCTGAGGATCAATTCTTTCCAGATTTCTTAGTTTGCTATTTCTTCAGAACAATAAAGAAGACAGGGACAAAGAAAATATACTAAAAACACAAACTAAAGCAAAAAAAAAAAAATCTAGGTAGAGTTTTAAAAAGGAAAATATTTACAAATTGGTCCTGTTTCCAAGTTATCACCTGTAATAGGCCAATGTTGAAAAAAGTTGAGATATGTAGATACTATTCTCTAGAATAAAGGTCTGAATGTCTCAGGTCTTGGTGAAGATGGCCTCCTTAGGCTTTAGTAGCTCTAATAAAGTCATGAGTTGAGCCATGGAGTTTATTGTTTTGTTTTGAAACTCAGACATAAAGTAATAACTAAAAATAACCAAAGGTATTAATGACCTAGGAGTAAGGCTCAGGAGTCTGGCTCTAAGGTAACTCATAGTCTCCTGACCTTCATAGTTGTTATTTCTTTCAATTGTGAAAAGTTATGGGAGATGAAGAGCAACAGTTGGTGTAATAGCTATGTCACTGGACTCCCATGTAGTCAACTGCGATACGAGTCCCGGACCCAGGCACGTGAGTGTACGTGCTTAAGATCCTGAGAGAAGAATGGAGGAGAAGGGATTGTGCTTTGTGTCTCTGTCTTTCTGGTGAGCACATGTGCCCTATAGCAAAAACCTCTCAAAAAAAAAAAAAAAAGTTACGGAGGAAAAAAAAGATTTTAATTCAGATGAACAAATTGCTATTATACTCTGGGAAGAGAAGTAAGCTTCAAGTCTCATATTCTTTTACTTCTTAAGAGTGATTTTAGGGGCTGGCAGGTGGTGTGGTGGTTAAGGGTGCTGGAATCCCATATGGTCGACCGCAGTTCGAGCCCTGAACCTGGCGGCTTGCTTTCTCCTTTTCCCTCTCTCTCTCACTCTGTTCCTCTCTGGTCAAATTTAAATACATAAACAAAGTTAAATAAAATAATTATTTTTAAAAATTCTTTAAAAAAAAAAAAAAAGGAGCAATTTTAGGTGCAGCTAACCTTCCTACAGCCCTATCTCAATTTTCCAGTCCTCTCTGGAATGTGGTGATTAATCACCAGAATATGTTCTTCCATAGAGGACAGGGAAAATTTTGCTGATGAGTTTCTGGCAGGGGAATTTTAAATGAAGAGTTCCCTTTTTGGTACATGTCATGAATCTGCCTACATGATTCATCTGTTCCTCTGACTCAGACTTCTTACCCAATTGAACAGATTTTTAGACTGGAAGTGCCAACCTCAACTAACAGTTTCAACTGATGTTTGATCTTACAGCTGCAGAATGAGTGCCACACAGTGCCTGAAACATGAATGGCTGAATAATTTGCCTGCCAAAGCTTCAAAATTCAAAGTTCATCTTAAATCCCAGCTATTGCTGCAGAAATATATGGCTCAGAGAAAATGGAAGGTATTTTGTTCTGCTTTTACAAAAAGCAGCATTTATTTTCTTCCTAGTCTTTGAAAGAACTGTAGATAAGTTTTTACTCACATTTTGATTCTAAATAGAAAGTTTAGGGGAGAAAATCTCTTTTATGCCAAAAGCTATCAGTTTGATTAAAAGATGCCACAGACCAAGAAGAATAGGCATAAAGGTGATTCTTGCATGGACAGTTTTTTTGTATTTACATGGACAGTTGGAAGTGACAGAATGAAGTTGAGCCTATCTCAGTGACAACAGTTGTGAAGTTCCTGAACTAGTTGCTTCTTTCTTGAGGCCTAATTAATCTACATTTCAGAAATGGGGGATGGGAAAGATTTATTAAGCTTTCAAAGCTTTATAATTTTGATTACAACAGAATTCTTTGGTAGCATGAACATAAAACCTATCTTAAAACAATTGAGATGGCATAATGGTTAAGGCACCAGACTCCCATATAGCTAACCACGTTTGAGTCCTGGGCCTTGCTGCTTGAAATTCATGCTGTGTGCGTGTTAATGCATGTTCAAATTCCAGGAGGAGGATGGGGGAGAAGGATTGCGGTGTGTCCATCCCCCACAGGGGGTGATTTTTCACTTTTCCTCTCAGTGTGTCTCTCTGGCAAATACATGTGCCCTATGGAAAAAAAAAAAAAAACTTAAAAAAAAAAAAATGGGACCAGCAGATGGTGTAATGGTTACATTGCTGGTCTCCCACGTAGTCTACCAAGGTTCAAGCCCCGACCCAGCAGCTTAAAATTCACACTGGACGAGTGTGTGTGCATGCCTAAGATCCCAAAATGAGAATGGAGAAAGGATTACAGCGTGGCCATCCCCCTGGGGGGTGATTTCTCACTTTCTGTCTCTCTGTCTCTCTCTGTCTGTCTGGCGAGCGCACGTGCCCTATAGCGAAAACCTCTCCAAAAAAAGAAAAAAGAAAAAAGAAAAGAAAAAAAATTCCATTATAATAGCTACCAAAAAGTGGAAATATCTGGAAATAAATTTATCCAGGGAGGTTAAAAAAAAAAAAAAGAAAAGAAAAACTCTCCAATGAAAACTATAAAACATCAATCAAAGGAGTTAAGGATACAAATACATAAAAAGATATCCTATGTTCATGTATTGGGAGAATTTATATTGTTAAAATTTCCATTCTACCCAAAGTGATATACAGAGTCAGTGTAGTCCCTACTACAATACTGTCCTTCTTCACAGAATAGAAAAAAATCCTAAAATTCATATGGAACTCAAAAGACACCAAATAACCAAAGCAATCTTAAACAAAATGAATAAAGCTGGAAATATTACACCACCTGAGTTCAAAATATACTACCAAACTATATTAATCAAAACAGCATACCAGCAGATGGCATAATGGTTACATTGCTGGACTCCCATGTAGTCAACCACAGTTCAAGTCCTGGACCCAGGGGCTTAAAATTTACACTGGGCACATGTGTGTGCATGCCCAAAATCCTACAGGAGACTGGAAGAGAAGGGATTGCAGCATGTCCATCCCTCCCAGGGGGGGATTTCTCGCTTTCTCTCTCTCTGTCTCTCCAGCAAGCACACATGCCCTATAGCAAAAAACTTTTTTTAAAAAAATGGCAAAACAGCATGGTAATGGTATAAAAACTGACACACAGACCAATGGAACAGAATAGAGAACCCATAAATACATCCACAGTTACATACAACTGATTTTTGGCAAAGGTGCCAGGAATACACACCAAGGGAAGGACAGTTGATTTTTCTATATGGTGTTGGGGTCCAGCCCTGTAGTGCAATGGGTTAAGTGCTGTGTGGAGGGAGCCAGATCCCACATGACCAATGTAGCACAAATCTTGACCCTAGTGACTTGAAAAACACCAAACATGTATGTACACATGCCCAGGATCCTGACAGGAAGGAAGAATGGAGGAAAGGATATTGCAACATGAACAGACCCACTATGGGATCTGCTTTCTTTCTCTATCTGGTGTGAGGATGTACCCTCTGGCATAAAAGAGTGCTGGGAAAACTGAATATCTACATGTAAATGAATTAAATTAGACCCCTAACTTCCACCAGTTAAAATAAAAAAACTAAAAATGGATCAAATATTTGAATATAAGACTTGAAACTATCAAACTATTAGAAGATGTCGGGAAAACACTTCATGACATTGCTCTGGGAAAGAATATATTGTATAAGACCTCAAAAGCACAAGAAATAAAAGCAAAACAGACAAATGAGATTTTATCAAACTAAAACATTTCTGCCCAGCAAAAACGAAATAACAAGAGTGAAGAGATGACTTACAGGATGGGCAAAAATATATTCAAACAGTGCATTTAACAACAGGCTAATACCCATGATATTTAATGAGCTAAAAAAACTCAATAGTTAAAAAACAAAACAAAAAAACCCAAAAAAACAAAAACAGAAACAAACCAAAAAACTACTTGATAAAAAATGGACAAAGGGGACCAGCAGTTAGTGTAATAGCTATGTCGCTGGACTCCCATGTAGTCAACCACGGTTCAAGTCCTGGACCCGATGGCTTAAACTCACGCCGGGCGCGTGTGTGCGTGCCCAAGATCCCGAGAGGAGAATGGAGGAGAAGGGACTGCGGCGTGGCCATCCCCTCTGGGCAGTGATTTCTTGCTTTCTGTCTCTCTGTCTCTCTCTGTCTTTCTGGCAAGCGCACATACCCTATAGCAAAAACCTCTCCCCCCCCAAAAAAAAAGAAAAAAAAATGGACAAAGGACCTAAATAGACATTTCTCAGAAGACAACATACAAACGGCCAACAGGTTTATGAAAAAATGCACATCACATGTCATTAGGAAAACTCAAATCAAAACTAGTTACAACATGTAACTAGCACCTCACCAATTAGAATGACTATTATTATAAAGATAAGAAATGACAAATGCTGATGAGGTCATATATAAAGGAGAACTCTTACACACTTTGGGTGGCAATGTAAATTAGTACAGGCACTATTTAGTCTAGATTCCTCGACTAAAAATAATATTATGATATGGTCCAGCATTCATACATTGGACATATATCCAAAGAAACTGAAATTAGTATGTCAAAGAAATATCTGCACTCCCATGTTTATTGTAGCACTATTCACCATGGCCAAGATATGGAATCAACCTCAGTGTCCATCAATAGACGAATGGATGAAGAAAATGTGGCATATACACACAATGGAAAACTATTCAGCCATTAAAAAAATGAAATCCTATCATTTTCAGTATCCTGGACAAACTTAGAAGACATGTTAAGTGAAGTATGCCAGGCACAGGAAGACAAATATCACTTCGTCTCACTCATATGAGGAATCTGAAAAAGCTGAGCTCACAGAAGTAGAAAGTATAATAGTGGTTACAAGAGCCAGCAATGGTGTAGTGGTTATGACGCTGGACACACACATGGCTGACTACAGTTCGAGTCCCAGACTTGATGGTTTGAAACTTATACTGGGTGCATATGCATGCATGCCCAAGATCCTGGGGGAAGAATAGAGAAGGGATTGCAGCTTGGCTATCCCCCCGGGAGGTGATTTCTCACTTACTCTCACTCTCTCTCTCTCTCTCTTTTGTGAGTACACATGCCATAAGGCTAAACTTGTATTATATGTTTCAAGATAGCCAGAAGACAGATCTTGAATGTTATGACCACAAGATATGATAAATGTTTGAGATGATAAATATGTTAGTTGTCCTGGATTGATCATTGTACGATACATACATATAGTACAAGAGCAATTATCATTTGAGAAAGTGGCTTTCCAACATTTTTATACGATTCGGATTCTCACTATAAAGCAACAGAACACCCCTTTATCTAGGGAGCCAGTAAACAAGTAAGCATATACATGTACATATAAAACAAAATGTGGAGGCCAGCAGGTGGTGTGGTGGTTAAGGCACTAGACTCCCATATAACTGATTGTGGTTCGAGTCCCGGACCTGGTGGCTTGCTTCCTCTCTCTCTCTCTCTCTTTCTGGTGAGGATGCATACACTATACCAAAATTAAAAAAGAAAAAAAGAAAAGAAATAATTCTAAAAAATGAAACCAAAAACATTAAAAAATTTCAGGACACTTAACAGTGTGACGCTTTGCCATTTGATTTCATTAAAAAAAAAAAAATGCTTTTCCCAACCCACAAATCTGATTTCATGATGTAGTAATGGGTTATGAATCATAGTTCAAAAAACATTCTTATAGTATTCTCTATTTTTCATGTGGAAAAAAACCAAACACACACTTCTCTCTTCATACTCCTGAACATTACATGACTGTTTACTATAATTACTCTAGAAATTTGTTTTCCACCTTTGGTTATCAGTTTTAAACAAGTCCAAGTGGCTAGAATTTGCTTAGTCTTTTTACTGTTTCTTCTTAAAGTAACTGGTCTAAAAGTATGCTCTTTCTTTCTTTTTTTTTTCTCTCTTTACTTCAAGAAACATTTCTACGTGGTGACTGCTGCCAACAGGTTAAGGAAATTTCCAACTTGTCCCTAATCTTCAACTCAGAATTTGTTGAGGATAATGGTGAAGTAATTACTCAAGATTTTGAAATTTGGACTTTTAATATTTATTCCACTGATTTTGTAAAAAAAAATGGTTACGACTATTGCCTGTGAATGAAAAATGGCCATAAAGAACACATGCTGTAACCTTTTTTTTTTTTTTTTCTGCCTGGTAAGATCACTAAGTTTGATATGTTGTGTTTACTTATCAAGTATACCTACTAATGGTGATAAGTGTAGGCCTGCTTTAGGTAGGTTGGGAAGCCCCTACTTTTAAATTTTGAACTCTAAACATACTCTGATGAAAAAACTCAGTAGACTATTACACAAGGAAATGTTACTCAAGATTATCTCTTCCAGTAGAAAGAATTCCTAGAATTCTGATTTGGTCAGGCATGGGCTGACATTTTATTCTACTATACTGTTCTAGTGTCAAGACGATAGATTTAGGACAGTGATTCTCAAACTTGTTTTAACTTATGCTCCCTTTTGAGAATAATCAACAGCAACATGGATCCTTCATTATTATTTGAAATTTCCAAATACATCGATTGTCCTGGCTAAATCATAGCAATGATCATTTTGAATGTGCTTTAAAATCTATACACACCTCCACCCTCTCTCCTAACTCTGGCCTGTCCTGATCTCCCTTTCTTGGTTATGAATTATGGTTTTGTACGTCAGGAAACTGAAAATGCAATATATGAAAGAGAGGTAAGAATGTAATGATGTTTAGCTTGCTGAGAGAAACAAAGAAAGGATACATCAAGAGACAATAAAGGAAAACTGTTCTACTTTAAGGATATATAGCACTTTTGATGTCGTCATTGTGTAAATATACATTAAATGTCCACTTTTTATAACCCTGAAGTACATGTAGTACATGAGCAGTAATGTCATCCATTCACTGATTCAAACACTGTTCTCAATGTGGTAGGCAACTAAAAAAATGTATAAACTTCTCTATGTGTATAAACATTTTACCAACCTATAAAAGAGTTAAAAGGGGTACTTACTTTATTATTCACAAGTAAACAATCCTTTCAATTTCTTTATTTCTACCTGATTTTTGTGCTATTCCCATTACCTTCCTGGGTCAGCAGTTTCAGCTGAAGTAGTGACTCTTAGTTTTTAATTAGACATGTAGCAGTTTCACAGCCTTTCAGGATTTTTATCTGAGAATAGACTGTTTTATGGCAGAGGACAGGCATTTGGAAGAGGCAGAGGTAAAGAGGTTATTCTGCTACTGCAGTTCTCTCAGGCTGAAACTTTCTTCCAGAAAGCTAGTCCTTGTTAGGAAGTTGAGTATTTGGTACCAGCAAAGTTAGGCCTGCTCTAAGTTGGCCAGCTACTAAAAGAAAATCAGAAGAAATGGCTGCTGGGAAAGCATTCTAGGAAACAACAACAGTGATTTGGTAAAATGCTTTATATTTTAGTGTTAACTTGCCTTTTTAAAAAGTGGTTCTTTGATAGCAGTCTCCAGAAGGAGTTACAAAATAGCTCTAAAAGAGCTACAACATTTTGGGGCCAGCAGGTGGCGTGGTGGTTAAGGCACTGGACACTCCCACATGGCCAACCACAGTTCAAGTCCCGGACCTGGTGGCTTGCTTCCTCACTTTCCCTCTCTTTCTGTGTCTCTCTCTAGTCAGATTAAAAAGTAATAATAATAATAATAATAATAAATGAATGCATAAATAAAATTAATTATAAAAAAAAAGAGCTACAACATTTTGTAGTTCTATAGTAGTTCTTATGCTTTTTGGTACTTAAAAGCCTTGGGAATGCTATGTGTCTTCTCAGAAAAAAGTAGTTTATTACCATGATCTAAAAGAGCAATGTCCAACAGAAATACAAGCTATATATGTAATTTTATAATCTCTAGTAACTTCTCCAAAAAATTAAAATTTAAATAATTTATTTAACCCACTATATCACAAATATTATACAATATGTAATCAGTATAAAATTATTAAGATATTTTATAATAAGTCTCTAAAACCTTGTATGTAGTTTATACTTTTATTTTTAGATTTTTTTTTTTTTTTGGCTATGAAGTGTGTGCGCTCGCCAGAAAGACAGAGAGAGAGAGAGAGAGAGAGAGAGAGAGACAGAGACAGAGACAGAGACAGAAAGCAAGAAATCACCCCCCGGGAAGATGGCCACACTGCAATTCCTTCTTCTCCATTCTCCTCTTGGGGTCTTGGGCACACACACACACGTGCCTAGTATAAGTTTAAGCCACCAGGTCCGGGACTCAAATAGCAGTCAACTACATGGAAGTCCAGTGACATAGCCATTATGCTAACTGCTGGTCCCGGTACTTTACAGTTAAAACACATGTTAATTCAGATGCTAGCTTTTCATTGTACATACTAAATATATATTTAGATTTCTTCAGATTTAACTGTAGAAAGATATAGTCACGTACTCAAGTTGTTTGAAACATACTTAAAACAACAGGTTTCTAGTGACTCGGATGGTAGTATACACTGGACACTGCTTGGCATGCTGAGACCACATGGGAAGCCCAGTTTGGTTCCTGGCCCACCCTTAAACAAGCTAACAAACAAACAAACAAAGCCAGGTGCAGAGGTGTCTACCTGTGGTCTTAGCTCCTTGGGAGTGGTAAACTTGCATTATTAGGAATATAAATGTGCTGCAAAATTGCATCAAGAATTCCTACCTTGGGAACCAGCAATTAGCGTAATGGCTGTGTCTCTGGACTCCCACGTAGTCGACCGCGGTTTGCGTCCTGGACCCGGTGGCTTAAAACTCACGCCGGGCACGTGTGAGTGTGTGCCCAAGATCCCAAGAGGAGAATGGAGGAGAAGGGATTGCGGCGTGACCATCCCCCCTGGGGGGGTGATTTCTCGCTTTCTGTCTCTCTGTCTCTCTCTGTCTGTCTGGCGAGCGCATGCGCCCTATAGCAAAAACCTCTCAAAAAAAAAAAAAAAAAGAATTTCTGCCTTATGAGGGTATTTGGACAAGATTGCATTAAGGTAATTTCTCTGCTTCCCAACTAATTTAAGAAATAACCAAGCATCTACTACATTCCAAATAACCAAAATCATTATAATTAAGCTTTTATGATATAAAGAAAAAGTGAAAAACAGGACTTATTTTTATTCTTCAACAAGGCTCCAAAATTTCAGGTTTATCAGAATGTCATCTTAATGGTGTAATTTAAAAGGGAATATTCTTTAGGGACCAGCACGTGGAGTAATGGCTATGTCGCTGGACTCTCATGTAGTCAACCGTGGTTTGAGTCCCAGACCTGGTGGCTTAAACTCAAGCTAGGCGTATGTGTGTGTGTGCCCAAGATCCAGAGAGGAGAATGGAGAAGGGATTGCAGCGTGACCATCCCCCTAGGGGTGATTTCTTGCTTTCTGTCTGTCTTTCTCTTTCTGGCAAATACATGTGCCCTATAGCAAAAACCTCTCAGAAGAAAATTTTAAAAAGTGAATGTGCTTTAATTAACTCACTGGGTCAAAGACCTTAAATTTAAGAACTAAAGTTATAAAACTCTTAAAAGGAACTACAGGAGAAAAGTTTTATCACATTCAATTTGGTAATGATTTCTTAGATAAGACAGCAAAAGCACAGACAACTAAAGTAAAAACAGCTGAACTGGATTACAGCAAAATGAAAAACTTCTATGCATCAAAATACACAATCAACAGGGTGAAAAAAGGCAACCTAACAAATGGGAGAAAATATTGCCCAATTATTTATCTAAGGGTTAATATCTAGAATATATAAAGAATTCCTACAAGCCAATAATAACAAAAGAAAACAAACAACTTGATTTAAAAAAGGGTAAAGGAGTTAGACATTTCTCTAAGAAAAAAAAAAAAAAAACCAACTATAAAGCATGTGAAAGAGACTCAATGTCCCTAATCTCTAGGATATGCAAATCAAAACCACAATGAAATAACACTTTATACTCATTAAGATGCTTACTATAGGACCAGCCGGATGGTGTGGTGGTGAAGGTGGCTGAATCCCATATGGCGGCTATACAGTTTAATTTCTGATCCAGTGGCTTGGCAAATATGCTAGGCGTATAAGCATGTGTTTCCAAAATACTGAGAAGAGAATGCAGGAAAAGGGATTGTGGCATGGCCACCTTCCGGGGGGGGTGATTTCTTAGTTTTCTTTTTCTCTCTACCTGTACCTTCTCTCTAGTGCATGCCCTATAGCAAAATCAAAACAAAACAGAAACAGAAAATAAGCATTGGTTAGGTTGTGATCAAGAAACTGGAACTCTTGTGGACTATTGGTGGGAATATAATATAGTTCAGCTACTGTGCACAATATGGTGATTCTTCAAAAATTAAAATAGTTATGATATGGTCCAGCAACCCCACTTCCGGGTACATACCCAAAAGAATTGAGAGCAGAGTACCCAAGAAATATTAGGTCATTGGGAAAGTCATGATGTATTTTTCTATGTTTTCCTATGCAAAAACATGTCACGACTTTCCTGATGACCCAATATTTGTATACTCATGTTCATAGCAACGTTACTACAGCCAAGAGTTGAAGAATCAACCCAGTGTCCTACTGATTGATGATAAACAGATAAACAAGATGGGTTATATATAAAGGGACGTCTTTCAAAAGTTCATGAAAAATGTATATTATGAGAAAATTATGTCTAGATTTCAAAATTTTGCACCTCCCCAAAAATATATTAATTCTTTTCCATAAACTTTTGAAGTTCCCACATACAAATCAGTATCATTCATCCTTGAAATGGAAGGAAATTCTGACCCATGGTACAACATGGATTAACCTTCAAGACATTATGTCAAGTGAAATAAGTCAGCTACAAAGACAAATATTATATGATTCTATGTACACGAAATACCTAGTCAAATTCAGAGACAGAAAGTAGAATGGTGGCTGTCAGGGATTTGGGAGAAGGAAGAAGGAAAAGTTAATGTAAATCAGTTCAGCAAAGTGAAAAAAATTATGGAGATTGGTTGCATAACAATGTGACTATATACTATTGAGTCATACACTTAAACATTAGGATGGGCAGCACCTAGTGGCGTAGTTGGTAGCAAAGTGAACTACATAGCTCATGGCAGATTTGGATTCTCTGGCTAGTCTGAAAACATGCTGGAAGGGTGGGCAAAAGGGGATCATCGTGTGATGAGGTCATTAAGGATGCTTTTCTCTCCCTCTAGTGTATACACAGTGCTCTTTATCATGAATAAACTAAACTTAAGATGATAAATTTTACATTTTACTATACAATTGAAGAGACATGAGTATGCTTAGATTCACATGGTGAAAATTGCCTTTTTTTTTTTTAGCTTTATGCTATAGGGTGTGTGTACTCACTAGAGAGAAGAAAAGTGAGAAATCACCTTCTTGGGAGGTGACTATGCTGGAATTGCTTGTCCTTCATCCCCCTCTCAGAATTTGAGGCACACACACACGTGACCAGCACGTGTGACCAGCGTGTTTTTCAAGCCACACGGTCGGCCATACAGGATCTAGTGCTGTCATCACCATGCCACCTGCTGGCCTCCATTGCTTTGACTCAAAGCTAGAAATCTAAATTTGGCACCAAACAAAAACAAGTTATATACTTTCTTAAAGTAAATGATAATACTTAATTAGGTCATGTATTTTCTATTTTAAGTTTGCCAGGAGCATATATGCTTGCCAGAGATAAAGAAAACAAAAGTGAGAAAGCACCCCCGTGGGAAAGGGGCACACCACAATCCTGTCTTTTCCACTCCTCCCTCCTTTTGGGATTTTGGGCATGCACACACAAGGGTCCAGTGTGCTTTTCAAGTCAGCGGGTCTAGGAGTTGAACTCACTTTCAGTTATGTGAGATCCAGCTGCTTTAACCATCAGGGCACAAGTTGGCCCAGATCTTGTCTTTTTTAACTTCTTTTAAAATCTGCTGCAGGTCAAACAAATTAGCCAGAGAAAGGCAGGCAGAGAAATGTCCCCTACTTTGGGAAGTGGTCTTCTATGTTTCTCCCTCCTTTAGTAATTTTATGTGCATTCCTATGCACCTCATGTATTTCTCAAGTTAAGGGGTCTGAAACTTGAACTATACAGTTGTCCATCTGGGATCCAGCCTTCACGATTACCAGGCCACAGGCTGGCCCAAGATCATGTATTAATTTTAGTTAAATCATGTCTGATGTAATACTTCTAGTAACTTCAGACCTTCCAAAAAAGAAAACCTCTTCTTCACAGTTCTTTTCTGTTGTTGTTATAGGGTGCATGCACTCTCCAGAAAGACAGAGAGAGACAGAAAGTGAGAAATCATCCCCTGGGGGAATAGCCATACCACAATCCCTTCTCCTCCATTCTCTTGGGATCTTGGGCACGTGCGCACATGTGCCTAGTGCGCGTGTTTAAGCCACCAGGTCCAGGACTTGAACTGCAGTCGACTACATGGGAGTCCAGAGATGTATTACATTATGCCATCTGCTGGCCCCTATTCCTATTTTATTGATGAGGCATAAAGATAATTAATTTGCTCATGGTTTCACAGGTGGAAAGTTGCTGAGTAGGCTTCTAAACCTAGAAAGTCTAGTTTGAGTCTATGCACTGGTGAGCAGCGCGACTCAGTGTAAATCTGTGTGTTCCTGCTAGAGTAGACAATGCTTTTGGCATAACAAGGATCCCTCTAAGGGGTGACAAGTGCTACCTGAACGCATAGAAAAATAACATTTATTAATTTATGTCACACAATATATTGATTTAATTAAACCAAAAACTTAAAACTTTGAAGTACAACTTGTCAGATTCCACTCACTCTGAACTTTATATCCTGGGCAGGACAAAAGACTACCTTTTATTTTAAAACAAAGTAAAAAAGCAAAATGGCTTCAATTCCATTTTGTGGGAGAACACAGACTGGTGGGAAGCTGGGGCTGTGCCAGTCAGACACTGTGGTTGATCTCTGTTGCCCAGGTCAGGGGCCAGCCCAATGCCCTGAACTGCTGGCTTCTTTGCTATTAACACAATTGTCTTAGGATCCTAGTTATAAAAGTTCAAATGAAATTCCAAAGCCCTCAGATCTTCTGGGAGGTGGTAATATACTACTGGTTTGCCGCACATACCAGTCTGAAAGCTGAAATCACTCTCCTGTAGCCTTTTGAGCACTGGCAGCATTTTCCAAAATTTTCCTTTTCCATTCTTCATAATCCTGTGTCAGATTTTCATCTTTCTGTGGTTTACTTGGGATCTCTACTGTGTTCTCTATTTCTATGAGAGAAAATTCCCAAAAGTAATTACAAATATTGTAGACAAAATTCTTATGTTTACAAATAAAAATTTAAAACGAAAAATTTTTGCTATAGGGCATGTGCACTTCTTGCAGATACAAAGACAGACACAGAGACCGAAAGCGAGAAATCACCAACCCCCGCCGCCACCGGTGGGATGGCCATGCCATAATCCCTCTCCTACATGCTCCTCTCTGGATTTTGGGCAAGCACGCACACATGCCTGGCGTGAGATTTAAGCTGTCAGGTCTGGGACTTGAACCGCAGTTGACTACACAGGAGTTCAGTGACATAACCATTTTGCCATCTGCTGGTCCCTGTTTATCTAACTTTAATTTATAAAGGTAATACAGAATAAGATATGAAAATAAAATGTGGAAATAGTAGCTATCACTTTTCTCTTTATACCCTAAGAATTCCAAGACATCCTAATGATAGCTAACATTTATCAAGCACTTATCTTGTGCTTGACAGGCATAGAACCAAACACTTTAAACAGTATTACCCATTTATCCCTCACTAAACTCCTATGAAGTGGGAAATTGAGGTTTACAGAAATGATGTGACTTTCTTAAAAATTATATAGCCAGTAAGTGCTGCTAAAGCAAATAAAAAGGCCGTTAGCCTGAGGTTTTCTCTGTAGCTAGAGATCTTATGTAAGCAAACCAGAACCTGGAAACATTTCTGGTAGCTAAGAAGAAAAACAACAACAAAACAGCTTCAGCCAATCACAGTCAGCCAGCCAACTGATTATACTGATAGAAACCTTCTATCAGACTAGGCCCAAATAGGACAAACAAAAATAGGACAAACAAGTAGCTCTAACCAACCTTGTTAATTTTCTGCTTTGCTTCCAAGTTTAGTTTCTAAGAGTTTGTTGCTGCACAGCTAGGTGGGTGTACCTCTCCAAACTTCTTTCCAGTTTGAGTGTTGCCTGACCCACATATCGTTCTTTGCTCAAATAAACTTTGTGAAATTTAATGTGTCTAAAGTTTCTTTTACTTTCCTTTTTTATTTTTTTTTTTTGAGAGGTTTTTGCTATAGGGTGTGTGTGCTCGCCAGAAAGACAGAGATAGAGATAGAAAGTGAGAAATCACCCCCCAGGGGGGGATGGCATTGCTGCAATCCCTTCTCCATTCTCCTCTTGGAATCTTGGGCACGCACACACATGCACCAGGCATGAGTTTAAGCCACTGGGTCTGGGACTCAAACCATGGTCGACTACATGTGAGTCCAGCGACATAGCCTAGTCATTACGCCAACTGCTAGTCCTCCTTTTTTGCTTAATGGTGATTAAAGTAGGATTTGAACCCAGCCTGTCTGACTTTGGATATGTTCTTAATTATGTAATACTTCTGTTATTGTTTGAAAACTGGTCTTATCAAATTATTAATGGTCAGGGGCCAGCAGTTAGCGTAATGGCTATGTTGCTGGACTCCCACGTAGTCTTTCGCGGTTCGAATCCCGGACCCGGTGGCTTAAACTCACGCCAGGCACATGCCATGCCCAAGATCCTGAGAGGAGAATGGAGGAGAAGGGATTGCAGTGTGACCATCTCCTCTGGGGGGGGCGATTTCTTGGTTTCTGTCTCTCTGTCTGTCTGGTGAGCCCACGTGCCCTATAGTGAAAACCTCTCCAAAAAAAAAAAAAAATTATTAATGGTCAGGATTTACTTAAAACCTGACTTGTCAGGCAAACTGTTGAAGCAGCATAGAACTGTTCAGTGCAGTTATCACGCTGTACTAATTTCAATTATTAGTACAGAGTTAGTAAGCCTTACCCTTTGCTGGGGGTTCAACCATTATCTTCCTCTTCTTCTGTGGTAGAACAGGTAAATCTCCAGGTTCTTCTTTAAGAAAAAAACAAGTGTTATATAAAAGTTAATTTTTCTCCTATTCCCAATTTTAGCATTTGGACATATTCTGAATCACAAATAAAAATTAGATACCCCGACTGACCAAATACTAGGATAAGGATAAGGCAAATAACTTCACTCTTCTCTTTTCTTTGGCTTTTATTGTAGGACTTGATAATCATTTTTTTAAACATATATAACTAGAGGCTGACATTTAAAACTGGAGTATGTTCATGCAGATCTACTTTGCCAGTATAGATTGACAGAATTCATGATTTTAAAAGTTACTAATCTGGGCCAGCAGACAGGGTAGCAGTTACATTGCTGAACTTCTACATGGCCGACTGCGGTTTGCGTCCTGGATCCAGTGGCTTAAAACTCACACTGGGCACATGTGCCAGTGTGCCCAAGATCTCAGGAGAATAGAGGAGAAGAGATTATGGTGTGGCCATCCCCACTGGTGGGTGATTTCTCATGCTCCCTCTCACTGTCTTCTGTCTCTCTCTGGAGAGTACACACACTCTAAGGCAAAAAACCTCTAAAAAATACATATCTATGTTAAAAAAAAAAAAAGTTACTAAGCTACTTCATTTGAAATAGAAAAACTAATTTTCTCACTAAAAATATATCTTGTTGACATTAAATACAGAATTCAGGAAGTGGCTAGTTATTAAGTTTGAAAATGACTTTTAGCAGAAAGTGTACACTTCCAAAGAATGCATCCTTGAAACACAGAATACTTACTGTCGATCTGCTGCCCAATCTTCTCTAATTGTTTATACAGTCGATCAAATATGGGCTTTTTAACACTGGAGGTGGCTACCATTTTGTTTTTATCCACCTTTAGCTTTAGAATCCTATAAAAGAATTTCACACATTGTTTTTCTTAAGGCTAGACGTTTTGCACTCTGACCAACCACATTATCTACTTACTTCCTTTTGGCCTATGATTAATTAAGAATCCCCAATATCTAAACATAAGCCATTAGTGATAATCATGAAAATTTACTTTTTATATAACACTTTAGTCGTTCATTGGACTGTTTTAAGAGAGATTTTTGCTAGAGGTCACATGTGCTTACTGCAGAGACAGAAAGAGAGTGAACGAGACAGAAAGCAAGAAATTATCCCCCAGGGGAATGGCCATGCCACAATCCCTTCTCTTCCATTCTCCTTTCAGGATTTTGGGCATGCATGCACATGCGCCCAGCGTGAGTTTCAAGCCTCCAGGTCCAGGACTCAAAACTGCAGTTGGCCATGTGTGAGTCCAATGACATAACCATTATGCCATCTGCTGGTCCTACCATTGAACTGTTAAGGGGCACATAAAGAACATTTGCTGTTGGACTAGCAGATGGTGTGGTGGTTAAGGTACTGGACTCCTTACTTAGCTGACTTTAGTTCATATTCCAGATCCGGTGGCTTGAAAATCATGCTGGCCACATGTGCTTGCATGCCCAAAATCCCAGGAAGAGAACGAAGAAGGGATTGTAGTGTGGCCATCCCCTCTGGGAGGTGATTTCTCACTTTCTTTCTCTCTGGTGAACACATGTGCCCTATGGCAAAAACCTAAAACAACAACAACAAACAAAACAAACAAAACCTAGAAAAGAAAAGAAAAACATTTGCTGTAGTGCTTCTTGCCTTTCAGAACTTTTAGTAAATTTCAGATATACTAATTTGCTCAATGACAATCATGACATTACAAAAAATCCACACATTTATTTATTTTTCTATTTATTGTGATTTTTAAGTTACCTGGTCCAGGACTTGAACCACAGTTGGTCAAGTGGGAACCCAGCACCATAACTACCACACTACCTGCTAACCCCGACAATCATGGTATTTAAACATTGAACTCACTTTAACCCACGATGCCTACATTTATACCACATGTATGTGACACCCCATCTACCTTGGGGGGAAAACAAAAAACCCTCTGAATAACATTTCATAGCAATCATTAATAAAAAGCACAAAACAAGCTTCTTATTCAGGATAACAGACCTGCCCAGATCTTTCTTCACTCAGTATAATACATGGTTTCAAAAGTGGGTTATATGACTACTCTGTTCTAACAGTCACATTTCCTTCCTATACATATATACCTTTGTTGAATTAAAGGAACGTCATTTTCTACAAATGCCAATTAACTACTCTCAGGTATGTAGGTAACAGAGACAAGTTCACCAAAATTAGTGTCCAGGTAGTGAGAAACCCCATTTTTTGAGAGATTTTTGCATGAAATCACCAGAGAGACCGAGACAAAGAGAGAGAAAGTGAGAAATCACCCCCCAGAGGGATGGTCACACTGTATCCCTTCTCTTCCAATCTCCTCTCAGGATTTTGGGCACAGATGCACATGCGCGTGGCATGAGTTTCAAGCCGCCAGGTCTGGGACTTGAACTGTGGTCAGCCATGGGAGTCCAGTACCTTAACCATAACACCACCTGCTGGCCCCAAGAAGCCCATTTTTTTACACGACAACTATATTTTGTTTTGTAAGCTTTCTAGCAATATAAAATAAGACAACTTTAGACGAAGGTACACTATTATTTCCAGAATAACATTTCGATCCATACACAGATAACCCACAACTTTAATATTCAGAGGTAAGAACTTTAGCACTGAAATGTTTTATAAATTATCTGAAGAACAATAGTTCCAAGCTATCAGCTATATCACAGGATAGACTGAGGATGTGATCACCTGGCCACTATTCCTGATGTTATTTATAGGGGAAATGAGTTTTCTGACATCCCAGTAAATTAGAAGTATTCTTTGGGAATGAAAAACCCACTTGTAAACTGAGGACTTTTCTCTATATTAAAGGAACACTTACTTGCACGCTGAAAGTAGTGCAGCAGTGGTGAAGAGCGGCCTGGATAAATCAAGATCTACCTGCTGCGTCTGAGGAAGACTGGACTCATAGCTAAGGGAGAGCAGAGATTGCAGAATTATATGGCAGAAAATATTCAAAAGGGATTGAAAAATGCAAATCAGATCTTACAAGCTTTTTAAATGTCTGAGAATATGCACTCTGTCACTTGAACATAATTTCTAAGACGGAAAATTAACCGGAATAAAACAGTGGATAATTTTGCTTTATGAGAGTAAAATTTCAGTTAAGGTTATTTATGCTCCATACCTTAGCAGTATCTTTGAAGCCATGTTTACTGCCTCTGTGCAGCTAAACTGTACAGCCAGGTCTCTTATTCCAATATTTGAATTCAGGCCCAGTAAGCACTCAAAAGATTTAAGACAGCTCTGATACATCTTCTTGTTCAAACCAGAAAGTTTAATTAAATAAGCCTTTGAAAGGAGAAACATAAAAATCATAAGTTCTAACATATTAGCATTCTTAAACTTATTTAACAAGTGGTATCAACTTTCCAAAAATTAATGAATTCTGTGATAAGTCATTCTACATAAAGGTTTGGCTTCATTTAATCAAAACTCATTATTCATACAAAGTACGGCTTTCAAGGAGCTCATTTCATTGAAAGGCAGTTATACATATGGACAGATAATTTAGAATGATCACATGGTATTAATATAGTCATGTTGTGAGTAAAAACTTGAGTAAAAACTTATGCAAGACATATATATTGTTACTTGTTTTCTAACAAAGGCACCAACAGGCAATTTACTGAGAAAAAGGAGGGAAGCAGTAGGGTTGGGGGGAGAGCACGTGAGAAGGAGGGGAAGGGAAAGATGAGAGAAATTGAGAGAGAACAGGAGGATGAACAATTATGGGAAATCAATTCTGTCTGGAAGAGTGAAGGAATGCTTTATAAAGGATGTAACAGGGGTCAGCAAGTAGCATGGTGGTTAAAGGCGCTGGATTCCTACATGGCCGGCCACGGTTCGAGTCTCGGACCTGGAAGCTTGCTTTCTCGCTTTCTCTTTATCTGTCTCTTCTGGTTAAATTTTAAAAAATAATAATAACAAATGGAAATAAATAAATAATTCTAATGTTAATAAAAAGAATTTAAAAAAGAAAGAAAAAGGATGTAACAGCAAGGCAGGGTCACAGAAGATAGATCTCACCTTGTATTCCAGAAGGGCATTCCAGGAAAAAACCTAATGGTATACCAACACAGCTTTGTAATACTATTTGTTTTTTAAAGAGAGATTTTTGCTATAGGGTCAGTGCGCTCACCAGAGAGAGACAGAAAGACAGAAAGCAAGAAATCAACCCCTGGGGGGATGGCCAGATCACAATCCCCTCTCCTTCATTCTCTTCTTGGGATTTTGGGCACACACACATACATGGTTTTAGGCTGCCACGCCCAGGACTCAAACTGCAGTCCACGACATGGGAGCCCAGTGACATAACCATTATGCCATCTGCTGATCTCTGTTTTTAATGCTATCATTCAACGAGTACTGTACAGTTACAGACAGCATTGGTACTGTGTTAAGTATTCTACACACAGTATATTGTTTAATCCTTTTAAAAATCCATTGAGATGAATATTTTTATCCTTGCTTTATGGATGAAGAATCTGGAAACTCAGAGAGCTAGTAAATGATTTGGTCTCAACAAGTGACTCCTCCTGATGCAAAGCTTGCTCTCTCAACAACTATGGTATCTAGAAGAAATACATGGATATTTAAGTATGTACTTTAGGAGGATAATGCTAGTAGTAATATGGAAGACAGCTTCTGGTAAAGAAAAGGGAGTCAGGGAAAACATAATGATGATAGTTCTGCAAAAATTACACATGAATATAGCCAGGAAAATTCTAGAACATAAACATTTTGGTCCAGGTCTCGTCCAACAGGAAAATTAAAACATAAAGGTAAGCATCAGTCTTGCACTCGATTATTCAGGCATTCAATAGGACTTAACTTACCCTGTCCAAAGGGCACTTCATACAGGAAGCTGCCAGGTCCAGGCACATGACTGCATTGCTGGTTTCTGTGGTATGGGCAGACAGGCCAACACACTTCACCTGGGACAGTCGCGAGTATTCCTCTGCTTTCCTGAGTATAAGGGCAATGTGCTCACTAAAACTCTTCTTCAAAGCGTTTGCTTAACACTTTGGTAAACAATGAATAGTTTGGTGGAGTTCATTCAAGGATTAACTACTGTGATAAATTCATCTGGGGCTGAGAATGAAGTACATGTCTGAGGAGGGAAGCTCTAAAAGACAAAACTAGCACTTTGACTCCAGGCATCACTCTGCTTAAGTGCTTTCAGCCTAAAGTAAGTTAACTCCTGCAAAAAAACAAACTTTCCTTCTTTCATTACTGGCACAAGCAGGAACGAACTCAGACACAGGCAGGCTGACAAGGATCCTCCCTTGTACAAGCTGTCTCCCGCCCTTAAATAAAAATCTTTACCGGGACCAGCAGATGGTCTAATGACTATGTAGCTGGACTCCCATGCAGTTGACCGCAGTTTGAGTCCGGACCCGGTGGCGTAAACTCACACCTGGTGCATGTGCGTGGGTGCCCAAGATCCCCAAAGAAGGATGGAGGATAAGGGACTGCGGCATGACCATGCCCCTGGGAGGTAATATCTTGCTTTCTGTCTCTGTCTTTCTGCTCAGTGAAGCACCCTATAGCAAAAACTTCTCCCAAACAAACAAAACCTTTAGTATACAAGACAACCACCTTTGGGTCTTGCGAAAACAGAGTGTTGGGTGCTCCCGTTTCTGATCGGAATGTGTCATTTTAACAAGTGCCAAGATAATACTGCTGCTGGTCCAGAACGACACTTTTGAGAACTGCTGTTACTTCAAAGCCTGAATCATGCAAACATCCTTCCCATTTCAAGCTTTTTGTGTGAGGCTATATGGTCTCTGCTTGGGTCGGTCTTGTCACATCCTCCGTGGCTGGCAACTATGAATCGTGTCTCAGCACAAATGGCATCTCCACCGAGACCTTTCCTGGATGTTGACTGAAGCGCAGCCGCCAGGTCAGAGGCTCTGCCCTACACTCCAACCTACCCTACTTAATGTGCTTCCTGCTCTTGCCATTTTAGACAGTGCCCGCCACTGGGTCTATATCACGTCCATTTGTAAACAGACGCTGTAAACAGCCCCTCAATAAGAATCTTCCAAAATGACCGAAAGTTCGCCCTGTCTCGTTCCTTTGCCTACCCCTGTGCATCCCACAGAGCGAGTGGTGCCATAGACATCCACATTCGTCCTTCCTGCCATCTCGTATAAGCTGGGAAAGTTTTTCTTGAATTAAAGTCTAAATCCCACCGAGTCACCATGCCGCTATAACTCCGCTCCTTCTGTGGAGCAGAAAGGGCGCCAACCTCTCCTGAATATGGTCCAGATTACGAGGCAGGGGCTTTGCTGGGGGCGTGCACATCCAGACTCACCTCAGCACCTCCGGCTCGGCGAGGCCCAGGCGTGGGGCCAGTCGTCGGATCAGTCCCGATTCCATGGCTCGGACGCGAAGAACTCGCACAAACACTGGCGACGCTACGAAACCCGCGGGAAGAAGGCGTGCGGGCCAGTGAAAGCCAGGCTCCACCCCTCCGGGGCATCTGCATTGGTTGGGACGAGAAATTGTGACTGTCAACAATCCAATCCAGGTCTTCCTTCTGCGCATGCGCAAGCCGAGCGTGCGTCCCGCAAGGCGGATATAGTGAATGTGGACTAGCGGCTTCTTCTCCTTCTATTCCTTCCTTCTCGACAATCTGATCAAACACCGTGTATCCCTCCTGCTGTCCCCTGCCTGCCATCGAGCGATCTCCATTGCCCCATGCCGCCCCAATACTGTCGCACGCCGTAGAGAGACTGGCTGGCGCCCAGATCTGTCAATCTAGCGTTAAGTAGCAAGCGCCAATAAGCACGCGAGACTTGGGTTTCTTGAAGCGGGCCAATCGAGGAGCGGCCTGCAGACCTGTGGGCGGGGGGCAGAGGGGCGGAGCTTGGAGGGGCCGCAGAGTCACCTGACCGCGGGAGGTTCCGCGCGGGGTAGGTGCTGCCTGCTGCAGGCTGTGGAGTCGCCATGGTGAGTGCCCAGGGGCTGTGGGCCCGGGGTCCACTCTTCTCGCAGGCCCTGCTCTCTCCCACTGTTCTGGAGCTCTGCGAGCGGAGTAAGGGTCCGCAGTCTGGTCGGGGCTAAGACCAGCCCTGGTTGGCCTGCGGGTAGGGGACCGGCGGAGGAAGGCCGCAGGCTGACTGAACCCAGTTGGGTGGGCGGCGGCTCCTGGCAGCAGCCGTTTCTGAGCTGGCGGCCTCTGTGTGGGAGTGTTCGGCCTGTAGGTTCTGGGGCCGTGAAGGCCTGCAAGTGGAATCGACTACCTCCAGGCCTGGAGGGGAGTCTGGGCCTCAGAACGTCCGGCCGGGTCGCGGCTGTGCTGAGGGCCTGCGGCTCAGAAACGGCGCCGGCACCGGCCCAGATAATGCATTACTACCTTTGTGCTTAGTGCTGCCTGGCCGGTCCCACGCCCTTTCTGAAATCTCCAAGAAACAACTACCGGAGAAGCCTCAGTTTTTTCCTGGCCTTTCTTGGCCTCATAGACACCTTCAGGTGCACGGTTTGTCGGAATTCTAGGGATCTGCTTACGTACATTTCCTGGAAGGTCTCCTCTTATCTTCCACTAATCTTAACAGTCTCAAAGGAGACTGCTTGTTTTCTTTAGTATTTGTTCATTGGGCACCCGTCTGTCTTGTCTTCTTTGATTAAATCCATAGATTTTAGTTGCCGAAAGTAGTCATTTTCCCTTAGGGCCTCTGTGATGGTGTGGCTGTTGGCTGGTAAACGTGGACTTCCTCAAAAATATGAGTCCTGTCTGTAGTTCCCACAAGGGCAAGTTGTCACTTGCATTTTATTGGCGTTTGACATAGCCTGCACTGTACTGTGTGAAGAACGTTTTTGGATGTTGGCATACTGTATGTCACTTTTAATGATCTCATTCACTCTATGTAGACAGTCTCTTCTGTAAGCCTGAGAACAGATTTCACTTTAAATGTGTTAATGCGGAATGAAATGTTTGACATACACTAGTTTCATATGAAATATCAATCTCCATACAAGGTGATTTTGCTTATTTCTCAGAGTTTTTACAATAGGGAATTGATATAAGACTGTAAAAATCTGAGATTTATCAGCATTTATGGGTTGATATTTATGGTGTCTTGTAATGGAAAACACTGAATTGAGGATCTAATGTACACTCACGTTCAGTGCTGGGTAAACCAGATTGGAACAGTGAGCCAGAAACACGGTTGTATCCCCAATAAATTTTATTGGAAAAGGAAGTCTGTATATCAGTTCCTACACAGTCACAGTCATTATGGCAAGTTGTGTAGTCTGGGAGGCTCACTTATGCATCTGAAAACAAGTTCTGGCCTCTTTGGCTCTATCCAGTCCCAAAGTTGCAAGATGCAGTTCAGTTAATCAGACATCTTGTCTGCTAGGCACTGGCAAACTATTAGGGAAGTGTCTGTAATCCTAGCTACATGGGAGGCTAAGGCAGGAGGATTGAAGTTGAAGGACAGCCTGGGCAACCTAACAAGCCTCTGTCTGGTAAAAAAAATAAAGTCTAGTTTGGGAGTCCTGCTTATAGAACTTAACTGTAATAAATATGGAGATTGCTTTACTAGCATTGTCAGCTCAGTTGCTTTGGAATCAGAGAGAGAGAGAGGATTTTGCTGGGGATCTTGGGGAACATGTGAACTGAGCCTCTGAGGAGGGTGGGCAAAAATTCTCCAGGTGGAAAAGAAAGGGTATTGATGTGGTTGGGAAAAGTGAATGTTTATGATGTGCTCCATTATAGGATTCCTGAGGGGATGTATTGGTAAGCTGATTTGTACCAGTTTGGTATTTATGTTTTGAAGTTTCCATTCCCTTATCATCCTTAATTCTCCTTACATCAGTTACTCATCTGTGCAATATAATTTTCAAATAGCACATTCATTAACATAAAATTCTGTGTTTTTGTGAAATTAGTTTTATTTTACAATCAATTCATATTGCACTGTTGGAATACATCTACAGCATATGAGCAGGAAGACTGAATTTAATGAAATTCATTGATTCTAATTATTATTAAATCTATTGCATCTAGAGATAAGGAGACAAATAAATACACACAATAAATTGGTTTCACTAAAGTTCTCATAGTACATTTTGGTAAGTTAGAAATTTTAAATGTTACTGTCCTTGCTCGTGAAACCAGCATTGTATGCTGATAGTTCTGCAATATAAATTAATGTTCCCATTGAGTTCATTTTAAAGGACACCTAACCTTTTCTTTGAAATGTGGGCTTCTGAGGAAGAGTGGTTGCAGGGGAACTCAATTTACTAGAATTTATCATAGAAAAAAATAATAAAGAGATTCATGGCATTGCTCACTCATTATTTAATCATTTTTTTCTCTTTCCAAAAGTAGAGCTAGAGATAAATTACAATTCATATAAACTGTTATAATTCGGAAGTAGGTTCATGTGGCTACTGTTTCTTTCTTAATCTCAAAATAAGTGTTTTGTCTTGGAAAAATGAAACACCAGTTTTCTTTTTCTTTCCTTTTTTATTTTGGCCAGAGGATGCATGCATTGATCACTTAGAAAGAGGGAAAATGAGAAAGCATCCCCCATGGGGGTGTTCGTTCCAGGATCCATTCTCTTTCATCTCTTCTTTTGGGATTTTGGACACTTATCCATGCATCTACCCAGTGTGTTATTTATTTATTTTTTTGGAGAGGTTTTTCGCTATAGGGTGCGTGCGCTCGCCAGACAGACAGAGAGAGACATAGAGACCGAAAGCGAGAAATCATCCCCCAGGGGGGATGGTCACGCCGCAATTCCTTTTCCTTCATTCTCCTCTTGGGATCTTGGGCACGCACGCACACGCGCCCAGTGTGAGTTTGAGGCCACCAGGTCCAGGACGAGAACCGCGGTCGACTACGTGGGAGTCCAGCGACATAGCCATTACGCTAACTGCTGGTTCCCTACCCAGTGTGTTTTTCAAGCTGCAGGGTAATCAAACTGTGCTGTCGTCCATGTAGGATCTAACCACCTTAATCACCTACCAGCCGTCCCAGCATACTATTGATAAATTTTATTTTTATGTCTATGTACAATATAAGTCATCACCTTCCACCTTTCTCACTCATTGCATAAGAGGCATTTTGTCTTTAAGTGGATCGATATAAAAAAATTAACCAGGGCTAGACCCCTGGCCTAGTGATTAAGGGATTCCGATTGCACATAACTGACTGCATGGTTTGACTCTGCTCCACTCCTCATGAAATAGACCCGTGTGCATGTGCACGTATGTGCACACATGCATGCCCAAGGCCCTGGTAGATAGAGAAATAGAGGGGACAGGATTGTGGCATGACCACATCTCTTTGGGGGATGCTTTATCCTTCCCCCTCTCTCTTTGTGTGTCTCTGTCTTGCATACATGCCCTCTGGCAGAAATTTGAAAAAAAAAAAAATTTCAAGTGGCCAATTCAGTGGCATTTAATACATTCACAGTATTGTACTACTATGAGTTCTGTTTAGTTCTAAAACATTTTCATCACCCCCAAAGCTGTTACTAATAAGTAAACCCTGTACTTATTAGTCAGTTAATCCTGGGGCCAGCAGGTGGCCAAAGGTTCAGTTGGCTGGATCCCACATGGCCCGTTGCACCATAGGAGTCCAGGACTCAGCTGATTGGAAAAAAAGTATCGGCAGGTGTGCTCGTCTGCCCAAAATTCAGAGAGGAGAATGGAATAAAAGGAATTGTGGCTTGGCCATCTCCCCTGGGGTGGGGGTTGATTTCTTACTCTCCCTCTTTTTCTCTCTCTCTTGTGTGTGTCTCTCCTACAAGCTCATACACCTTATAGTAAAATTAACCAAACAAAAAAGGCAGTTAATCCTCACCTTCTGTCCTGGTAAGCACTTTCTGTAAGCCTTCTTTCTGTTTCTATGGGTGATTTATCTATTCATGGGATTTCATATAAGTAGAATCCTAAATATGTAAGTTTTTGTGGCCAACTTCTTTTATTTAGCATAATATTTTTTAGATTGATTTGTGTAGCATGTATGAATAGTTCACTCAATTTTATGACTGACTCATTGTGTTGTATATATGAAGAGAATTCCAACATTTGTGGAAAATGGGATTAAAGTCCAACTTTATTTCGGTGCAAAGTTTTGAAATCCATACATAGTTTTTTCATAATAGCCATTTTCTGTTAAACTTTTGAAGACTTATATACCACCATTTGTTTATTCATTTATCTGTTGATTTTTAAATTAATTATATAATCTAAACAATCTAAACCCAGCTTATTCATTCTTACCATGAATATTTATGAAGCATCCATTATGTATCAGGTAGTGTGTTGGTGCCCGAGGAGGTAAAAATGACCATAATTTGGGGCCAGCAGGAGATGTGCTTAAGGTTCTGGACTCCACCACTGAGGTGGGGGGTGATTTCTCACTTTACCTCTCTGTCTCTCTCTCTGGCAAGTGCATGTGTCCTATGACAAAAAAAAAAAAAAAAGAAAAAAGAAAAGAATGAATGCTCTTGTAGAGATGTGAACAGTGTTTGTATGTACAGCATGAAAGAGTGGTTACTTCTACTTGACAGTGAGATTTAATTCGGTTTGTAAGCAAATTTTTACTGATGGCAAAAAGATACGTTCTGTCCATTATAGCTGTAGAAATGAAATAAAGTAGGTATTTGAAGAGGTATTTGATACTCTTTATCATTTTCTACTGTAAGCCACTAACAATAATTTCTGCTACTTTTCCCCCAAGCTTTTCAGTCCCTGTTAGTTATGGCCTAAGAGGAGGAGGGAGTCAGTGTTTTCATAGATGACTTCTTTGGTCTCAGAATAGACTAAATTGT